GGAAGCGGGAATGCGCGGTGTCCGGAGAAAGCCAATTTAGTCGAAATAAAACAAGACTAACTTGAATTCCGAGGAGTGATTGTCGAGGAGGCTGAGTTTGTTCAGCTCCTCATCGATCACCTCCATTACGCTGGCGGGAACCGTGAGGTTCTGCAAAACAGAAGGTAGAAAACAGATATCGATACGTTAGAGGCGAGTGGGTAAGAGAATCCTACGTGGGGTGATCCACACCGATAAAATAGATGCTTCGAGCATTTAGAAAAATATATGTGCGCAAGATGAGTAAGTTCCCGCTTTATTAACTAGGAGCATAAAATGCTTTTGCCTGCTACAAGTGATTGTAATTTACAGTACTGTAGGATGGACATGTTTTCGTGCTTTTCGTATCAATTCTTTTTTTCCTGTTCGAAAGCAGGGAGAGGAACGGGTTACTGCTGCAAGAGGAACATTATCCTTTTTTGTACTTCTAACGCCCCTGCCGTAAACACCGGTAACATGTGAAACTTCCGTCTGTGAAGCAGATACCTCGGGCAATTCATAGGAGCTATGGCTATCGGCTTAAGATGAGCGAGCGAGAAGGAGTACCAATATTAGCCAATCACAAATTCGAACCCAAACAGTGGGCCTTCCTTGACTAGTGGTGATGGGAGGGGGGGGTAGCTGATGATGGAAACGCCTGTTACGGTATCCATTGCGTATTCCCAGTTCACTGGTAGGCCTTTGCTAAGCACTGGGGATTCTGAACCAGAATTTTTAACCCAAATGGATAAACCGCCGTGTTTGGTTGGAGTGTCACTCACGTAAATCTATAGTCGGACACCTGCGGCCAACGACGTGTTGACCTGATTCCTGAATTGCTGTTTAGACTAGGATGGACCATTTAAGTGGTATCTTAACAGCGCTTATCCTGCAGCGTAATCCCAGCATGTTTCAGACACGACAGGCTGCCGGCTTTCAGATGCACATCTTTTCGGCAGCACTCGGTTAAATTAAAAAACATAAACCTAATAGAATTAATTTTTTTTATTGATTTTAGATGTCCTTATAAAATCAAGTGTATTTATTGAAAACATGCATACATTGATTTTTAAAAATTGCAATTATACGATGTCCATCCAAATGGCATCCTGTCACACTTGGTTTGTTAGTGAGCTCTTTGAAATATAGACCATATATGCCACCCACTATTGCAGCATGGTATGAGCCTACACGGTATTTTCTTAATGACACAGACAAATTTATGCTATGCTCAATAAACCGAGGTACTATTCGCGAGGTAATAATTAAACATGTGGTAATTATACTACTATGCATAAGTGAGTAGTCGTTTATGTTTGTACTTTTTCGATAAATCCACTGTTGTCCGTTTTTCGTCTGTAAGTATGCGAACGACCTTCTTTTCTTGAATTTTACTGCTATATCAAAGAAAAAGAAAAGGTACAAGAGGGAAGCAGCTGCTTACCGTGAGTCTGGCTCTAAACTTCTCTGCGATGGCATCCTTGTCGTCCTTCTCCATGCCCAGTTCCCGTTTGATGACTTTAAGCTGCTCTGCCAGCATGTACTTTCGATGCTGCTGTTTCACCTTCTCCTCCACCTCCTTGCCAATCTGCGCTTGCAGTCGGCCCAACTCGTACTCCTTCTTGACCAGATTGAGGGAGAGACGCAGGCGCTTGGGAATGTCCATCTCCTCAAGCACAGCCTGCAGTTCAGAGGGCTCGCCCGCACCGCTCAGGGCCGCACCTGTGGGAGTAAACGAAAAACATAAGACCATCTCACAAGAAGAAGAAGGCTTGCACCGGAGTTGGCTGGCTGGCTGGCTAGTAGCCCTTGTGGATCAGGAGTCCCGCCAGATTTGCCTCAATCCCGGCGGCGAGGAGGGGGAGTCGGAGCAGCGTGATCGGGAGGGGCTGCTCCGTCATGAAAAAACAGAGATT